CCACCGCCACCTGCCCCGCCCATGAAGGGGTTGGCCACAGGTTGTTGAGTAAAAGCTGAGGATACGGGGCCTCCACCCCCGGGGCCTCCTCCAAATGGGTTTGCCGCACCCTGGGGTTGCCCTGCAAGGATATCACAAGAAACACTATCAATAACTAGCATTAACTTTATCCTAGCAGCTATGTCATTCTGGAAATATCAAAATTTGAAGATTCAATTATTTTGTGCAGTTTGGTATGAAAGAAAATAGAAAAATGTAGAGAAAACTATTGACTGAGAATCAGGAATTGCATGTAAAAATCCACAAACACTCAAGATTCAGAATTCAGTTCAAATCTCTGTTTGTTTAAACTTCACAATATAACCGAGTTGTAATTATGTTTGTTCCAGACAGTGCTTAGCTTGGTCTGCTTTGAAAACTGGGGTATGAAAAAAATCAATAATACCTCAATTGAAATCTACAGGGAAATCAATGTTCAAAATCTGACAGGTGAAAAACCAAGTAGCAAATAAAATGGTGTGTCTTAAATAATAATTATAATTTTTAAAAAATTGATACTTTCATTTATTACTATCTTCATCATTTGCCACATTACCTCTCTGTATAAAAGGATTGGTGGGTACTCGACCCCAACAGATATTATCATTGGAATGGCTACTAGCTGAATAGAGAGTTATCATATAGCCATAGTATACAGAAAAAGAGATACTATATATCTACTTGCTGGCTATTCTATTTATTGACCAAATTTCCAGTGAAGTTGTGACCACTCAACTTAGGTCATACTATCTCAAAAAATTTAACCAGTTTTACAAAGGAGCTTTGGCTGAAAATTGGTCTGCTAAATTCCAAAATTTTGGTCTGCTTCAGTTCAGTATAAATGTGCAAAAGTCTGCCTAAAATGAAAGCCACAATTTGAGACATTAGGGAACATTGCATTTTTGTTATAAAAAACGCCCAAAGTGTCATTAAAAAAAGGTTAAAAAAATAAAATTTTGTTCTAAAAATTAGTTCAGGCTCATTTTGGTCCAATAGTTCTTTCAAGAAACATGAACTTGCCCCCACCCCTCAAATTATTGGTGGCAAAACCCTGTCTTTTTGTCCACTGTTACTGAGATTGTGACAAGTCACCCGAGATTCAATTGGTTTCTGTAAGAAGTAAGGAGAGAAAATAGCTGTTTACACCACAATTTGACTGGAAATATGGCCTCACTATAATATATAGACTGTTAGTTCTCTTGCCAGCTGTCTTGTATATTAGAATGTTAAAAGAGAGAGTAATTTTTAAAAATTACTAGAGTTAAAATGTGTTGTGATTCTTTATTACTCCTTAATTCCAATGTATTTAATTGGAAACTTGTTAAATTACTTTAATGTGAAAGACCTGTGTGATACTTAGATCTATTTTAATTATTTAAAAAATATCCAAGGTGTTAGTAGAACTATTTTGAGCATTCAACAGACCAAAAAGGTTTACTTCATTCCGTTAGTTTGGATAAATGTTTACTCAACATGGGAAGCAATCTTTTGAATGAATGGCAAACTAAAGCAGTACTGAAAATTCATTGTTAGTACCCATTTTCACAAATGAAAATACCAAAGGTATTAATTTTCAAATTTCAATAATCTTTTGCAGTGGGGGAGTGGGCTGGGCATAAGTTGAAGAAATGAAAAATGAAGAAAACCAATGAGAGTAAATGGTAAACTCTGAAGATTTTACAAAAAAATAATTATAGCGATAACATCACTCTCAATATGTTTTGAATATACTAGTCTTTTGGTTTCTTAAAAATTAATAAAAAATTTATTTTTTTCTTTTCTCACTCTTGTGTTGCTCTTTTTCATTTCTTAAAAATGTAATAAAATTATAATTTTTATTCCTTACTCCTGTGCTTACACTACATACAGTCCTTGATGGCCCTGATATTCCACTACTATTGCAAGTGAGCTTAAATGATGTGTTGCAACTGTGTACGCACATAAAATGTGCACATATTTAATACGTAGGGGATGGTATCAGGTACAGGCATGATAGGGATGAAGTTTCGGAATAGGACTACTGTAACATCAAGTTCTGTGACTGACTTAGACATGTTATGTTTATGACATTTGAACTTTCAGTATGTGAAAAAGAAAAACTGCATCATTTTTAAGGAATTGAGTTTGGATTTTCTTTTAATTGGATGGATAACACTGACACTGGCTACCAAGTGCCCAAAAATAAATAAATAAATAAATAAATAAATATCTGGTTTTACAAAGTGTATTGCACCAGGAATTTGACCTGCAAGTAAGAACTTTATATATGTTTATGTAAACAAAAAGCCCAACCTTTGTCCCATTGCCATAAACCATTAATAAAGCGTTGAAATATTATATAAATAATAGGAAATAATATGCATAAGATATTATGACTGTATTTATTTCTAAGCACAACTTCTTGCATGAAAAGTCTTGTCATGCACCTTGATAAATGTCTGCCTTTCATGCAGCATTCTTTGGATTATGAAAATTTCAAAGAATAACAGCAATTGCAACATAGTTTATAGATATAGAAAGGAGATCAACAGCGTATGCAACTTTCATGCATTCAGTATAAAATAAATTTGCAACAGTAAACATAATAACACCTAACTTGCATGAAGAAATTCAAAGTAACAGATACACAGTGTTAAAGCAAGAGGAACAAAATGCCTGTCATACCTGCCCCACCAAATACAGACGAGCTAGCTGTCGAAGTCGCCCCAAATGATGATGCAGCGCCCCCTACACCAGTGCTCCAACCACTTCCGCCACCCCCTCCGACACTACCCCCAGTGCCAGGGTTACTCCAATTCACGCCACCACCGCCAGCGCCACCTGCTGGCCCATCCCAGCTGACGCTCTGCACCACTGGCGCAGTCTCGGCCTCGGGTGAACTGAACAAGTCAGCGAGAGCCGCATATTTGTCAGTAGAGGACGTCATGGCAGCAGACGAGGAGGCGGGCACCGGAGCGCCACCTAGACCTGGGGCAGCGGCAGGGGCGGCTGTGGCTAGGTTAGAGGGACTTAGCATGGTACCCTGTTGGCCAGCAGGAGGAAAGCTACCAAATGCATTAGTTGCTGCAGATGGCTGTGGGGGAACACTATTGAATAATGCTGTAAGCAGAGAAGAATAACAGAGAAAATCATAAATAATGATATATATGTATATATTAATATGTAGAACAGTATAAAGCCCTTTGCATATTGTGTGGTACACTTAATTGGATAGATCCATTTTGAAAGTGTGCCATCTTTACCACCTGGCTATTACCAAAAAACAGCTCCAAATTCAGCCAGTTTTTAAAAAAATGTGAAAGGCAATAAAACACCCTGTAATTATATAAAAATACCTCTCAAAATTGACCGATCCAGTTCAGTGTACAGCTCAATGTGAAAAGGTCAAACCACCCTGAGTTACATAGTACTGACATGGACATTCCCCTCACCAAAACCCCTCAGCTGTGATGACTTCAATGTCAAGACTTAGGGTGACAAGGGACGCATTTAGAACAAGTTGATCCCTGGAATAACAGACCCGCAGATCAAATATGGTCGACCCACTTGAAAGCATGCCACATAATCCCCTAATAGACAGACTCACTGAATAGATTCCCTGTGGGGATTAGGCAGTAAGTTTTAAAGTGGGTCGGCCATACTTCCACCGTGGATCCATTGGTCCGGGGATCAACTTTGGTTCTGAGTGCAGCCAAAGAGATCGTTAACACGGGATTTTATGTATTGAAGAAAATTCCAAGACCCAAGGATCACCATCAACCTGCCACTCAGACTACAGTTAGGGTATTATATCTTATAATAAAATACATATATATATATGTGTGTGTGTGTATATATGTCCAGTTCAACTGCACTGTACCAAAACGACTGTCTTCAACCAATCAAGATTCAAAACAGATTGGCAATCATTTAACACAAAATATCTCAGAGTTTGGTCTTTTTGTTCCTTATTGTTATAATAACAAATTTATACATGCTCACCTAAAAAAAGCCCTTTAAAGAAGCAATCAAAAATGTTTCTGAGCGTAAAATACATAAATATTAACAGTTGGTTTGGGGGCAGTTTAGTTGAGCTGACAAATCTGACATAGTATTTCCATCTTACACTGAACAGTGTTGTAAGACATGGTGGTACTGGGGGAGAATCCCATTCTTGGCTGCATGTAAACTACAGAATACACAAATTACAGATCAGTATGACTTAAACATTTACAGGACGAAAAAGACATATAATACATTTTCTAATGACGTGGTCACGAACAGCCGATATTCAAAATCTGATTACCAAGTAAAAAGCCTTCTATATTAACCTTTATCTATGATTGCATTACTGGAGAGTTTATTAATATATTCTATATGAGGAATATCTGCTCTCTAAAGAATGACACTCCTGTAGAGCTGCTGAATACATGCTAATATGTCATCCAATTCACACCTGCAACCACCTATCAAATATCTTATATGACACATCTATTCCATTAACATGCACTATACATTCATTCCCACAAAGATGCCGTGAAAAGAAAAATCCAAATAAAAAATAATTACTCACGAAAAATAATTTTAAAAAATGCTTATGCTTTCAACATGCTGGGTGATGTGGATATGACCACTAATGCTAACTAATATGTAAATCATGACAGCTTTCTTTCTTTCATTTTTTTTATTTCAAACAAGTTGTTTGGTTTAGATTTAGAATGTTTCTTTCTGCACGCAGTAATGAAGGGGAGGGACCAACTTACATGTTGACTGAGCAGGGCTAGCAGCAGGAAAAGACGGCTGACCACCAAATGCACCAAAGTCTGCAAAACCACCACCAGATGGTGCTACAAGAAAAGACAACATGAAGATGTTACTAACATAGAAACAACAGGTCAACTCATGGATCATTACTACTATTCATTAGCACTTCTTCATAGTTAAAAAAAGCAGCAATTTTGCATTTCTGTTTCTTTTTACCCCTCAAAATATGTACATTACTGACAAAAATTAAACTGTATATGTTTTACTGAAATAACTGATATGAAAAGGATGAAAGGACAACCCAGCACCCTTACTCAAAAAGAAAATGAACATAGATGGAGGCTTGAAACCAAGACTTATCTTAAAATGTAAGAGGCAAAGCAATAGGTCTGCAGCAATATTCCCCAACTGCATATATATCCATTTCAGCCACCAGACGGAGTCTACACCCAAGACAAGCTAATTCCACACTCACCTTGCGGTGCTGCAGGAGCAGCAAAGGGGTCTCCCCCTAAATCCCCCAGCAGGTCCATAGCCGAGGACTTTGGCTGTTGTGGCTGCTGTGGAGGTGACTGTACTTGTTGTTGTTGTTGGGGTGGCGGTTGTGCTACTGATGGTTGCTGTTGTGGCTGTTGTTGTTGTTGCTGTTGTTGTGCAGCAGCAAATGGAGTAGGTATTGCACCTGGGGCTGCTATCCTCTGTGGCTGACTACCTTGCTGGGACTGGAAGGAGAATGGAATGATTTTTTACTTTCATTGCCTCTTGTATGAAGGCAGTAAATGAAAAATTGATTGAAATGGCTCACGTATGGTGAAAAACATGTTTAGTGCCTTTAGAAACAATTGGCTTTGTTCTACAACACAAGATTGTTGTGAGATTTTTTCTTTTTAAGTGATTATTTTTTCTTTAAGACCACTTTGTATCACACTTCATAGTTTAATTATATCAATTTCAGCTAATTTCTAAATATCACAAATATTACATTTTTCAAAAATATAACATTTTTCACACTGGTTGCACATTTCTTAGAAAAAGTCTAAAAACAGATGTGATTTAGAAGTAACAATCCGCACATATATTTTATAAATATTGAGTAAGTTTTAAACATATCAGTTGTATTCTTCCTTAAATATCAAACATATTCATTAAATAATAGGGCTACTGAGCAAAAAGAGGTGACTAAAAATTAAGACTTATCTCATTTAGATAAATAATCAATCATACGTAAGTCGATAACCATGGTATATTAATAATATTCGTACTATTTGTCAAATTATTTACTTCAAATTTTATATTCACCAAATACATAATTTGAAATTACATGTATAATAATAATAATAATAATAATAATAATATGGTAATTTATTAAAAATCAATGTTAAAATCACAATTAAAATCATCTACCTTATTTGGCTGTATAACTAGCTTTGGTGCATTACTTCCTACCAGTGTACGTAGAGGTTTTGTTCCGTCATCTCTGGACACTGTATTCAACTGCTTGGCCTCTTCTTTCATACTCTCCGTAGGGGCCACATACCAGCGCTTCTTTTCATATTTTTGAACCATAAAGTCTTTTATTTTCTGTTCGTCTTTGTGATTGAATTCAGGGGTGGATCTGGCGTCATAAAGACCTAGGTAGACTTTCCGACAAAACTGAAATGGAGAGAATATGTTTGTTTGATATAGAATGACAAGTGTGTGTGTATAATGTCTTAGACTCTTAACTAAGTTCTTGTACCTTGTAATTAGGCTGTACATCAAATTTGGACAGACAAAGTGTTGGGTACGACAATGCGAAAATAATGTGCTAGTTGCAAACGAAATGCTATGTTAGGTGAATCAATTACGGCGCAATTGCTGTGACATTGTATCAGTCCTTACATTTAGTCCACAATCCCAGTGTCTTAATTTTAACTGTAAGAACATCAGGCGTGTCATTGATATTGTGTAAGCTGTGACGGCATGGCAGTTGTGACAGTGATGGCAATATTGTGCTAGTTGTGACAGTACCAATGTGTTGGCTGTATCAGTTAGAGTGTGTTAGGTGTGACAATAGTGCGCAATCCGTACCTCATTCCCATGACACTGTAAGAAGTCCATTTCTTCAGGAGTAAAACTAGTCATAGAAATTGACTTTACTCTATATGGGGGATTCAGGCCACGTCTGAAAATAATGGGAAAAAATAATTTACTAATAGCATCAAAGTTACCAGAATCACACAAATTATATCACCACATGCATAAAAAACATCAAGCCATTTTTTTTCATAACTATGTTTCCCCCAAGCCAATTTCTTCTTTTAATGAAATACTTATTTTTCTTTTTAAGAACATCATATTAAATAAATTATATAGGAGAAAACAATTTTTTACATCCACCCCTTAATTTTCAAATACCATTTTCACATTATCTCCCAAAATTGGAAATGAGGCATTCTCTTCTCCCAGAATACTTTAATAATAATAAAAATAATAATAATAATAATAATAATAATATTATTATTATTATTATAGCAATAATGATGATATTTGCTTAGGTAGGGGTTGAGAAAAAGGAGCAAAGTAAATTTCTGTCCATGCTTCACATTAAACGATATTCTGAATCAACAAGTAATTCTCACAATGCTATTTTATTTCTCCTCAATTGATCCGCCTTGTCCCTAACGACAGTTACCATGAGTATTTCAGTCACATTAAGTGTGCCATTTTTAGAATCAATTCACCAATTCTCTCGGGGTGAGAAACAAAAATTCACATTACTTTCATTTCCATCATCACCCACAGTTCTACTGGATCAGGGCTCAACACAAACGGTTGTCCGCTTGCCCGGGGCAACTAAAATCTGCCGTCGGACAAGTAAATTTTGTGTCCAGTTGCCCGGCGGGCAAGTAAATTTTAGTACAATGTTAGATCTGATGTTAAAAGATTGAAGCATTACACATGTTTTTCCCTTTTTGCACAATAATGTCACAAACTGTAACATACGTCAATGCAAGATTTCTGTATTCTAATGCATGCACAGCTTTCTAAAAATAACTGGCAGTCACTATCTCCGTCGGCAGTGCCTCGTTTTCAGAGTGCTGTCATATTCTATAATTTAAAGTATTTAGTCAAACAAAAACAAGGCAAGTTGTTCTTGGAAAAATTTAGCCACGTGATAAAAGTTAAGAAGGCACTCTCTCTCACATTTATTTGGCACTTTTTGTATTGGTTGGGAAATATTTAGAAGCATATAATTTCCAAGCTTTAACCACGAAAGAAGTGGAAAATAAGCAGTCACACTGTTGCTAAGTGAGAGTTGGCAGGGACCAGTTTGCGGTGGTTTTGACCAGTTAGCAGACAGCTGAACTGCTTCTGTAACTGATAGAGATTTCCCGGACTTGAAATGCTTATAGTTTATATATTTAGCAACAATTTCAGGGAGAAACAGGAGGAATAGTAAGCTTCCTTAAAGTATGGACATTTTAATTGATGAAGTTGGATAAATATGTTAACTTTTTGCACCCACCTAATAAAAGCAGTGTACTACACAAATACTTGTTTGAGGGAGCCAGTGAGCACTTGTCAGTATCCAGACAGTGTGGCACCGATCATGGTCTGTCGCAAGCATTTCAGAGCGCTTTGTTGACCTAGTTTTTTTTTTTTTTTTTTTTTTTTTTGACACTTTAATGAATGTGGAAGTCTGTCTAGGAGTATGTTTTGATCTCCTCTACATTTTAAATCATTGGCTTTACTGTTTATTCACTGAAAAAGGTATCTGAGCTATGTTGATACCACAGTTTTCTTAGTTAAAATGCCACCAATCCAATACTTGACTTCAAAAATTTCCATGGAGGAGGAGGAGAAGGGGATCCTCATTCTAGCATTTGTAGGTGCTAAGTATGTAATTCTTTATTAATGAATTTTTTTATCATGCTTAGCTTAACTTCATTTACTCCTCAAGACATATGAAACAAGACAATTATGTCACCGTGCCACATAAAATGTTGAAAAATCTGTTCAAAATAGCCTAAAATGCACCAAATTGCACCTTGATTGAGTGCAGAAAAGTGCTATGAAGTAACCAGTGGCATTTTAGATTTTACTATCAAATTATTTGTGTAATTTGGTGTTGTCAAGGCAATCCTACTATATATTAAAGTGAATTATATTAAGATTAATTTTTGAAGTTTGAAAGTACTGTTTCTCTTCTATAGATTTTATCAACTGTTCTGCAGAAATAAAGAAATGTTTTTTTTTATAAAAAGAAAAAAAAAGAAGTTGGGGATAGTGACCGACCTATCTATACTTGATGAGTAAATGTAAAAGAGTTGGTTCTTGTAAGAGCATATTTTATAAGTAACAATGTTATGTCTATCAGTCGCCATCCTGAGGAGTGTGGGCATTGCAACATTTATGCACTTGTATTCTTATAAATATCCTAATTTTATGCTACATCATAGTGGAGGTGTACCTTTTTTCTTTCGTTTAGAATCTGTGACAAATTTGAAATTTTACTGATGTGCATGACAAAATGTGACATTCCATCAATCAACTTGCTCATGGAGAAAATAACTCAAAGATGACAAAATTGACACAATTGATTTTTTTTATAAATAAATAAAATTTAATGCTTCAAATGAAAAAAAAAACTGCATATTGAGTGGTTTAAAAATTTTCACTAATAATGGGCAAGTTGAGGCAGAGGAAGGGCAAGTAAAAATATCTGGCAGGTTGCCCTGGGGCAACCTGGTTAAAAAACTTATGTTGAGCCCTGTGGATCAATAAACAGGTTGAATTGTATTCGTCTCTTGGGCCATTCAGTCATGTCTAATTTTTGGCCGAATAACAAATATTACGTGCCAAATTTATGATAAGTTAATTACGGTGACATTTAACAAAAAATCCCATTTCTTCAGCCAATATACTGGTATATCAACCGAAGCAATTGACAGAAAATTGCATGCAACAGTTCTTGTGCATTCAACAGATAACATGAGTCACTTTTTTTCTGCCTACCAGGCATTGATCCAAAACTGAATAAATCAGNTCAAAAGCACGTGGTTGCCTATGCTGATTTTTGTACAAAACTGTGTCCTTTGACGAAAACTGAGGCGAAACATTTTACTTGGTACATTCCTGTACATGTAGCTAAATTCAGGTGAGGGATATCTGTTTAAAAGCGATATTACAGATTTCACCTCTAAAGCGGCGCTTTAGCCCCTCCCCTCTGATGCATATTTGTTACAACAGCTTTATTTAATAACATGGTATGCCTAATCTTTATCTTACGTCAATTATATCAGTGAATGAGGAAAAATCCTATTGTAAAGACACTCACATTTTGCACCTGTCGGCTACACAACAGTGTAAACCGATCTGTCTCAGCAAGCTCAGCAGACTCAATTTTAATTGTTTGTCTTACTAAGTTAATGCAAATTTAGTAATGACATTTTAGTTTTATAGTATTTTTTTTTTTTTGTTACTTTTTGTTTTCTTTTCTCTTAATCAAACATACTCACCGCCTCATCTCATTGCAATACATTTCATTATCTCTAATCAAGCGGTCATTACTGTAACTATTACCAATAGACAATATCACACAGACAATTACAAAAAAAACAAAAAAAAAAAAAAAAAATCAAAAATTTCACATGCATTATAGCACCCATGTTCTCATTTAATGTCTAAAGACTTTTTTTTAGTTTAAGCCCATTTGAAGACAGCTAAATGTAGCACAAGGATCGGATCCTAGAATGGCCTATTATCATACTTATTCAATCCGTCAAGCCATAACAAATATTAGCAATGGTTGTCGTTCACAATCTAGCCTCATCGTACCATATGTCATGTTCACAAAGTGTGTGTAATGATTCACTCTGATAAAAGAGAATAGGGAACGCTGTTTCAATTGACACCCTGCTCCCTCGATATTTATTTATTATCACTTTGATGAAAATTGTCTTCATGAGATCTAAGACTCTTTTACTTCTCAGTTAAAAAGAAAGAGTTTGCATTACAACTCAACACAGTCAAGGGCAAGTTTCAAACAGGGCTCCTAAATGAAAATATGGGTATTAAAATCATTATCAGTTTATCAATGTGAAGTCCTTAGCTAATCAGTGGTCATCACCCAGGCTTACATTCTTTACACAGACATAGTGATACATGCCCATGTACATGCACACTCGCGCACACACACACACACAGACACATGCACACGTGCTCACAAACACACGCACACACACACGTGCGCACATACACACACACGCACACACACTGACAAAAGGTCCTACAGGATAAGCAATAATCACACACAATAATCAAGATCAAGTGGTTCTTCTTGACATACATCAAGTGTACTTCTCTTATCATTCATATTCATTACTAGTTAATAGTAACGGTTACCTTTAATAAGTTCTGTTAAGATAACAGCTTTGGACTGACAATTGTTCATCTAGAGTGACACTTTTTTTATATTTGTCAGTGAAAATGGCTGGCAACACCAGCAAGGTTTCCACTGTTGGCAATGGCATATCTGAGAAAATGTGGTACTTCATAAAGCTGCATTCCAAAATGATACAGATCTCTCAGTTGTTTTGATAGAAAACAAAATCAAGAGAAAACTACTGTAATTGACTGTGTTTGTGTGTGTGTGGGGGGGGG